ATCTCTTATTCTGGATTCTTCCTTAATTTCAGGTCCTGGTGGCCAGTGGCAATCAGAAGCCGTTATGTGAGCAGCATGAAGGAACCTCACTGTCCTTCAGCTTACCCCTATGTCCTGCACTGCATGACCATCATTCTTTTGTGCAGCATATTCACGTTGTATGTAAGACCTGGCCAGTAGTTATTACTGTTAGCTTAAGATTAGGTACCTAGTGTACCTAATTTATAAATTCAACTTTTTCATTGGTATGTAGGTACAGGACAAAAGCCATATACATAGGGCTAAGGGAGCTCACGTGGCCTTGTGGCAAGAAGCTGCGCTGCAATCCCAAAGGCACATGATTCAAGGCCATCAGCCACTTCATGGAAGAAGGATGGACAATCTTTACTAGTGCAATTAATTGTCTCTGAAAAACCTGCCAGAGGGTCAGCTATGAGTCAGTTCCAACTCTACAGTACACAACAACAAAAGGTGAAATCCAAGGTTTCAGGCATCCACTTGGGGCCCTTGAACATCTCTTCCAAGGAGAAGAAGGGATTCCTGTACAGCTCTCATCAATTTTCATGGAGTTGAAAACCCAATGGAGGGTCGTTATGAGCTGGAATTGACTCAAAGGCAGTGGGGTTATTCTGACTCACTGGAAGCCCGCATGTGTCAGGGTAGAACCAGAACTGTTTCGTAAGGTTTTAAATGTGAATTTAAGGAGCAGATAGCCAGAGCTCTGAGGCACCTCTGTGCAGACTCAAGCACGAACCTTTCAGTTAATAGCTAGGTATACTAACCATTTGTTGTTGTTGTTGTTGCTGTTGTTGTTGTTGTGTGCCATTGAGTCACCCATGGCTCATAGTGACCCTATGTTTAGGAGCTCTGAAGCCTGCCCTGTCCTGAGCCAGTCTCACTGACTTCGATACACCTACTCCCATTGCCCTGGTCACTGTGTCAATCCATTTCTTCCAGGTTCTTCCTCTCCTGCACTGTCCCTCCACCCTTCCAAGGACTGGTCCCTCCTGGCCACGTGCCCATAGTATATGTGACTAGATATTCCTTCTTCAGTGACCTGCCATATGCAACATAAAGAAAACAAAAATCTTCACAAGTGTACCATTAAGCAACAACATCATGATAAATGGTGAAGAAATCAAAGTTGTCAATTATTTCATATGACGTGAATCATCAATCAATGCCTGTAGAAGCAAAAATCAAGAAATCAAACCCTCTAGTGTACAACATTGAGAAACATCGGCTATAAAAGATATTTTTAAAGTATTGAAAAGCAAATGTGTAACGTTGATGGTTAAGATGTGCCTGATCCAAGCAAATGGTCTTTTCAAGTGCTTACTGTGTATGTGAAAGCTGGGTAAGGGAAAAGGAATAAGGAACGTTGAGACATTAGAGTTGTGCTGTTGGAGGAGAACTCCATGGACTGCCAGGAGAATGGACAAACCCATCTTGGACATCTAGAGTGCTCCTTAGAAGCAAGGAATCTAAAACTTCCTCTTAACTTACTCTAGATCCACCCACAGTAAAGACCAATAAATAATAAAGGACATCATGTTTAGTGAAGCTATTGTTATGTACCATAAAGTCAGAATTGACTCATAATTGACCCTCTTTCAGAGGCTGTAAATCACACAGGAGATTACCCATCTTTCTCCCATAGAGCACCTGGTAGACTCTTTGGTTTGGCAGCACTACTCCTTACCATTAAACCACGAGAGTGGTTTAATAGATAAACTAGCCTTAGGAAAATAGGCGTCAGCAAAAATTAAGGAAGCCTTCCATAAGTAAACAGTCCTGCTGGCTGCAATGGGCTTCAACATACCAGAGACTGTGATGGTGGTGCAGGCCCCAGCAGTCTGTTGTGAAGAAGATCTAAGTGACTCAACAGTAACGAACAACAATGACAATACACCAAGTCCTACACTAGACTGAATATACTGGATATTCAGGAGGGAACCAAGGAGGCATGTTCAGTGCTTTATAAAAAATTTGTGTGTATTTCTATTTAATAGAAATACAATTTATTATGTGATTTATTATTGTGTGATAAGAGTCATAACAGAGAAAGCATGGGCTTCCATAAAAACACAGAGGAAAACTATTTAAACCAAACTCTCAACCACCTAAACCCCAAGATACACTTCAGATCTCACCTGTTACTTGTTACCTTCCCAAACATATTGAGAAAGAGCTCTGGTGATCTAGTCAGAGCAGGGAGTTGCACTGCTGGCCCTCCAGTCGGTTTTCAGAGACAATTAATTACATGGGAGGAAATTGCCAGTCCTCCTGTGGAGCAGCTGGTGGCCTAGAACCATGTGCCTTCGGGATTGCAGTGCAGCTTTTTGCCACTAGGCCACCAGAGCTCCCTTAACTCCATGGCAGGAGATGCTAATCCACCAATGTCTCTGGGAAGAGAAATGGGCAACCTCCTCTTGTGCTATTTACAGCCTCTGAAAAACCCACTGGAGGGGCAGCTATGAGCTGACCAATAAGTTGGTTTAGAGTTGAGTTTTCCTTGCCACACAATGATATTAAAACTCAGTTTGGCTCCAGAGGTTAAACTATTAACTGCTTCCTTCCCATTAAGGAGCCTTGGTGGCATGGTAAGCAAAGTACTCAACAAAGGTCAGTGGATTGACAGAGGAGAAAGACATGGCAATCCATTTCCGCCAAGGAGTTGATCTAGGAAACCCTATGAGGCGTTCTAGTCGATCTTAGAGGTTGGCTGTCAGCAGCATTGTGCTGGGGACTTCTCATTAATATGCGATAGCTCAAATGTTAAAACTGTGAACATTGTTAAATATTATTTGGAGATTCTAAACTGTTACTCTTGTTTCAGAATCATGCCGTGTAAATTGTGGTAGTTTCTTAGGTTGTAATATCAGAATATATTTTAAGCTTTTACTGTTTTTCAGATATAAATTCCTGGGATATTTGTTTTTTGTGATTATTACCATTTTTTTATTATTTTACATACAGATTTGTATATATTGTATTTCACGCCTCTTTCACATTATGTTTCATACAATCATTCTCTATTATGTTTTATAAAGCTAATCACCATTGAACTATGCCCACCATTACCCATCATTTTGGGTCCCTGTCAGATCTTTCCCATTTCCTTTATCCCCCCTCCCTCCACCCACCAAATTGGGACCCTGTGATTTCTGTCCTCTCAACTCCATCCCTCTGGTCCCACCCCTACCTTCCTTTAATCCTCATATAGATTTTACTAGTTATGATTATTACTTATTGATTATAAATAATTGTTAAATTCAGGACTTGATAATTTTTTTAAAATCTGCATAAAATTTGTAAATGGAATTGTTTTTCTATTCGGAAAATACTATGCTTCATCACTCAGTCAAGCATTCTTTCACATCTATCAACATGTTTATATAATTTTTTTTCCCCAAACAGGTTGCATGCTTATTGTTAAAATTATTTTTTATTGGTTTGCATACAATAATTTGTTTACACTGTGTTTAAGTCATGTTGTTGTTGTTATGTGCCATCGATTCACTTGTGACTCATAGCGACCTTATATACAAGAGCCCTAAACCCTGCTCTATCCTGTGCCAATCTCACTGCCTCTGACACACCCATTCAGATTACCCCAGTCACTGAATCAATCCACCTCATAGAGAGTCTTCCTCTCCTGCGCTGCCCCTCCACCCTCCCAAGCATGAAGTCCCTCTTCAGGGACCTGTCCCTCCTTACAACATGTCCAAAGTATGTCAGACGAAGCCCCAGAATCCTTGCCTCCAAAGAGCAGCTTCGTTTAACCCTCTCCAGGATGAATCTGTTTTCTTGGCAGTCCATGGTACATTCAATGCTCTTCTCCATCACCACAGCTCAAAGGCAT